TTTGGGATTTCTTGTCAGAATTCTCTAGAACAACTTTATTTATTTTTTTTTCCAGTAAGTTATGGCCGATAAGAAACGACCTCCTGAGTAGCGCAAACAAAAGACAAAAGAAGCTAAAGAGTTAAGAAAGCAAGTCCTTGCTGAAATACAATCGTATACAGAAATCAAATATTTCTGGAAAACACGGAGGAAAAAGAGGATGCCATCAAGAATGAGAGCATAGAAATGTCTGCAGAAGAAAATGGCATTGTGCCTGAACTGAATTACATTGATTCTACCAAATGGCCTTACTTTTTTAGTGACAATTTGCATCAGCTTATATTACAAAGCACATGAGGGTATGGTTTTCCGACTGACTAAAAAACAAAACCAACAAAAACAAGATTTTCTCTTATACACTATAATAGGAGAGCTAAGGTTTTTGCTATGGCTTTTTACTAATTTGTGGTGCGTGCTGTAAACCCCGGATTGCATTGTTTAATATTAATAATAACATTTTAAACCAATTTAAAAATCTGAATAATAATATACATCCAAAGATAAATACTGTTGATAATATTAACCAATGTAATTGCAAGAATTCTAACGAATGGCCATTACGAAACCTGTGTTTAACCACCTCTCTTGTTTATCTAAGTACTATTTCTACAATAAAGAATCCGACTGTTGAAAAATTTTATATTGGTAGTATTAAGAATTCTTTTAAGACTAGGTGGTGTCAACATAAGGTATCCTTCATCAATAGTACTTATAAAAAATAGTATATCTCTTTCTAAATATTTTTTTAATCTAAAAAACCTAATAAAACCTCTAAGGTAAAATGGAAAATTTATAAAAAAAGCTAGAACATGTAGATCTTTAAATAAACCCTGTTTTCTATGCTTACATGAAAAATTAGACATTATCAAGTTTTCTGATAAAACTCCTTATTAAACCAAAGAAGAGAATTGACATCAAATTGTAGGCATAGTCTACCATGTATCTTACAATATGTTTAAACTTTGGATTTGATAATACTTTTTCTCATGGTAGTATGTTTTTTTCCATTTGTAAGATTCATTTTGATCTAATATTGCTTTGTATTCATATTTGGTTAGATTTATTAATGTCTTATATGGATGTACAGATGTTCAGTTAACATCTTATATTGATTAGTTGGTATTGTTAACATCTTATATGGATGCTCTTTATTTAACGGTTGCATATTAATGTGCCAAAGTAGTTCTGTATTTATTATCTGTTTTTTTTTTTCAAACGGTTAAGTTATTTACCAGTTTCTTAAAGGGGTCTTTTATTCATCAACTGTAAAATTTTATGTAAGAAGCTGAACGAACATCTAACTGGTTAGCATTGTGTTAAATTACTTCCCTACCGCTTTTAGCTTTTACTTATTTGGAAAGTTGAACGTCAGACTTCTATACATCTTACGAAATAATGTAGCAACTTGTATTTGCCCATAAGGAAATTGTCTAGGATTTATATGCAGATAACTTCGTGCCATGACCTATATTAAAAAAAATTCGGTGGATTTGAATTTAGTGTAGGTCACATTCGATTGGTTAATCACGGCAAAGCCCAAAAGGCTATTTTTTTTTTAAAAAAGGATTCCAACTTTTAAAATTAAATTAATCTTTTGCTCGCCAGTGGTTTGGCATCGCCCGTGGAGACACATTTGTGGTGTTGAAACATGATTGTAATAGTGTAGCGATTTTTAACATGTTTTTGTTTTAATATCCTAAAATAGATAATATTTAGCTCTACTCTGTATTAAGCCCGCTTTTAAATTAAATGTTACGTACAGTGGAATTATGCTCCATTTGTTCTCATTTTACCTGGGCATATATATATATATATATATATATATATATATATATATATATATATATATTGAGAAATGGACAAAGTCCGACAATTTATTTATTAAAGACATTCTTATGTTAAACGTTCTTTTTTTTTATAGAGACAAGTATTTAAGTAAATGCTCTGTTTATAATAAACAGTATTAAATAACATTTACCGGCCTGAATGTCCGTCATTTTCATACGCTGTTATTCGTCCTTTGACGGTTTCGAACCTGGATCCAGGTTCGAACCGTCATTTTACGCATTTCGTGAAAAATTTCTCGGACATTCAGGCCGGTAAATGTTATTTAATACTGTTTATTATAAACAGAGCATTTACTTAAATATTTGTATCTATAAAAAAAAGAACGTTAAACATAAAAATGTCTTTAATATATATATATATATATATATATATATATATATATATATATATATATACACACACAAACACACACACACATATATTAAAGGAAAATCTACTGAAGATGTACTTATGGATTGCAAGACTGAAAAGAATTATTGAGGTGTAATGGAAACAATGAGGCTAAAGCTAAAGATATGTGTTATAAAATTGTAGCAACAACTGGAAGTCTGCCAAAAGTATATATCGCCACACGAATTATTTCTCTTCTTAATGTTTTGCTCTCAATAAAAAAAAATGTTTTTCTTTAGGACTAAAGGTATCCAATCCTGTAAGGATATTTTTCACCTTTCTGTTGTCGGTGAACGTAATTTTTCAAAGCTCAATGTAGAAAAAAAGAGACGAGTTGGCTTGATAATTCGATCAATTGAATATGCTCAGGCATCAGCACTTGATCTGGTTAAACCAACGACAACATTTTCAGAAAGAAAATGCACGCAAAGTGAGATTTTGATGTGCTTGAAGATAAAAATTCAAAAAAAAAAAAAAAAAAAAAAAGAAAGTTTTTCCCCTGTGTTCTATTTCTCTGGAAGCAAGCCAAATATTTTCTTAATAGTAATAAGAATTCTTGCAATTTTAAATAACATTTTATATCGAGACATTCCCACTGCCGGCTCCTTTATTCTTCCGAGTCGTCCTCTTATTTATATATGTACCAATTTTTCATCTCATTTAAGTCATACTTTTGTATTTTGTTTATATTTTGTATTATAAATAATAATCTATTCTAAATTTAAAACATTAACTTTTAAAAAGTTTACATCATTATTTTGACTTCCCAATAAAAATATCTTCTCCTTAACTCAAACTGATAAATGTTCTTTCTCTTTAAATTGTAGAAATATTTTAAAGAAAATATTGGCAATGTGTGTGTGTGTGTGTGTATGTAAATTATTTTCAGAGTGTATCTGTGAAGGAACAAAATGAATAAAAAGACAAGAGGAAAAACTATTCTTACCTTACAAAATAGTTAAATGAAAGAAGTGTGTGTGTATATATATATGTGTGTGTGTGTGTGTATGTGTGTATGGAAGGGTGTATATATATATGAATAAAAAGACATGAAAAAATTTTTTCTTAACGACGCGTTTCGTATTAAAGTCCCTCAGAGGATGAAACATGTCGGCTAAGAATAGTTTTTCCTTTTGTTTTTATTCACACACCCTCACGCGCGTGCGCATATATATATATATATATATATATATATATATATATATATATATATATATATATATATATATATATCAGGTGTCCTGACGATTGCGTCTAGCATGAAACAGTCTGTCGCATTTGAGTGTTGACTTCAATATATATATATACTTCTTTCCTTTAACTGTTTTGTATGGTTAGTGATCGTGTTATAATACTGTTGTTTTTGATTTTCCTTAAAACTAGTTAAAACTGGCTTTTGGGTTAACCAAATATAATATGTGGGCGGCCTCCATGCTAGTTGCTGTCTTTAACGATATTTACTTAAACATTTATAATAATGAAATAAAGACGGTCAGGGAAAATCGGTAAAACGTAAATTAGTTTTTTTTTTTTTTTCTTATTTCCTAGAAGGAGAAAAATACTAGTACAGTGTAAAAATATAGCACACGCCTTATTTCCTACTCTATAAAGGAAAGTTGTTGAATATTATTAAAAATATGTCCTTACTGCAAAGTCCTGCACGTTGTGCTGCAAGATACTGTTTCCCCACGTGTCAAGAAAGCATCCGTCTACTCGAAACATTCAGACAGGGCTTCGCTGATTGGCCGTTAAAGGTCACATGGCTGGCTAAACGCGATGCATATTAACTGGGGAAGAAGAAAGACAATTAGGTCAACAGACTATTACAGGGGAACGGTTAAAGAGAGTGAAATTGTAACAGGAACCATGGAGTTATGGATAGCGCGCTCGGATTGGGGAATCGGAGAGCCGAGTTCGAATCCATTACATTCACTTACGTGAAAGGTATGGATCTTCTTGTTCTGCTATTTACATTTTTCTATAGCCTTGGATGACAACTGGTCTACTGCCGAAAGAAATGGCAATTTGCCTCTTCAGTTATGTATCACTAGATCGCCTAAGGGTGTATCACGCATGGCACATAACTGACTGATACGCTTTTTAATTCTATCAAGAGTGGAAAGTGAGGATTGGGAAACACAAATATGGTGTATATATATTTCTTTTGCAACGTTTCCTCCTCTAGTGTTTGTTAGAAAGAAAATAAAAGACGAAGAAAGGCTGGGAGGTACAATTTATTTTATATCAGGAATAATCAGATCATTTTTAAAAATTTTGACCCTCTATTTTATTTTCTAATTGTACCAATTTTAAAATTTTTTCAAAATCCTAGAAAATACGCCATCAGAAGTTTAGAAACTTAAAAGAATAAATAAATAAATATTTCATAGATGTGCAATAATATTTAGTACCAATGATCGTCATGGACTGATTAATGGACATACTGAAAACACTCCCATATCTTGAGAGAATAATTTCGATTGATTCGTTTTCTACGGTTTATCAACCTTTGCAGGTTATTTAAAGTCAGAAAACATCCCTAGATTGTAAGATTTTTATTTTAGATAATAATGATTTAGTGATACAAGTCTTACTAATTAACCCATAGCAATAAGGGGATTTGCACGTAAGTGAATATAACGAACCCAACTAAAACTGTAACTCGGTTCTCTGATTAAAAATTCCAAGCCATTATCCATTATTACACCACTCGCACATCCAAGCTTACAACACTTGATATTCCCAAACAATCAACCATCCAGGTACTGACCAGGCTCGATGTTGCTTAACTTCAGTTATCGTACGGGGACCGGTGTTTCAACGCGACGTGGCCGTAAGCTCTGAGTCCTAACCGGATTCATTACTGGCAGACACAATCTTAACATTCTTATAAATACAGATGACTCTATTGGTAGTAGAAAGAGAACCACAGGTAATCCTACAGAAAGTAGCAAATGAAAGTGAGAAGAAGGGACTAAATATCAATTGTATCAAGAAGAAGGGACTAAATATCAATTGTAAGAAGACAAAATGCATGGCTGTTAGCAAAAAGGAAAAGGCCTTGAGGGCAACTACGAACTTGTGGCACCCAAATTAAGTAAATACAAAAATGTAAACATCTAGAAAATGTTTTATCAGAGGACGTAAAGTGCGACACCGAAATCCGAAGGCGTTTTGAGATAGCGAAATATGTCTTTCAAAAGTTAAGCAATGTATTAAGAAACGGGAAAATTCCATTAAAAAAGGAAATAGTACTGAACTATTATGTAATACCGATTTTCCTATATGGCAGTGAATGCTGGACAATCTCGTCACAGATGAAGAAGAGATTAGAAGCAAAACAAATGTGTTTCTACAGAGAGATGCTGAGAATACCATAGACCGAACATGTTACCAACAACGAAGTTCTAGAGTAAAAATGGCAACTTAACATCAGGAAGAAAGAGTTGAGGTTTCTGGGACACATAATGATAAAGGGGGGTGGAGGAAAATTTGATGCTTACAGGACAGATTGAAGGCAAGAGGGTTTTTCAACAGGAGACAATGTAGTGATAGTACTTTGGTTCGATGTGGAATAAGGCAATCGGAGAGGAAACAAATTCGTATTGTCCCTAGGTCATCATGTGGTTAAAGAGAGAAAGACCGAGTGGGATTGTACCATTTTCTTTTAATACTGCTTTATATAATGGCACAGAGCTAGCATTATAAGTTTCCTGGCAGACACGGCGGGGTTAATCCTACAACAGTTTTCGAAATTCTGACATTTACCTGGGCTTGAGTACTGGACTGTTATATAATATGGCAGTAAATGTTAGACAATCTCCTTGCAGATGAAGAAGAGACTTGAGGCCAGAGATATGTGGATCTGCATAAGAATGCTGATAATATCATGGACTGAACACGTGAGCAACAACGGAGTTTTGACGAAAATGGAAACAAAAAGGATACTTGAAGGCGAGAGAGACAGAGGAAAGCAACGCGCAATCTAAATCTACCTTGGGAGCTTGTGTAGATGGTTGGCAGAACAGGGATTAGGAGAGTGAGCAAAAAGACAAATTTTACTAACAGCTACAAACGAAAAGTTGTGGAGAGGCATGATCCCACAAATCCTGAAGGACGCGGAAAAGGAATTATATATATATATATATATATATATATATATATATATATATATATATAATAAAAGGCTTAAACACTAACAAACATGGAATATTAGTGTTTAATCCTTTTATTATATCCTTACTTTGTCCTGGACATTGAGTTCTACCTGGATTCTATCCTCTTGGAATTTTTATTCAAAAAATATACATGTATGTATATATATTTATATATTTATATATTTATATATTTTGCATATGTATGTATATATATTATATATATAAAATTAGTTATATATATATATATATATATATATTGTGTCCTCAGACACATCAGATAACGAGGAAAGTTGTAAAGACAACGACTTTTTGTGTTGTAAAGATTTTTATTTATCTTTTTATTTTTCTCGCAGTTCTAGTTTTTCATTTCGTTTCACACTCATCCACTTCGCTTTGGATTTGCCGTCTTTATCTGGTTTTGTTTAATTCTATTTTATTTCTGTGTTTTGAACAGGCAGTTTGGAAAATAGCCATCTGGCCTTTCGTATATCAGTGGATTTGGCTGAGATATCCTCTTTCCTAATGCAGACATAATATTTCCCAATAGTGAACAATATTTGGCAAACATGGACCTTCGTGCTCGCAAAAAACAGTGAATGTCGAAAGGACGGTTTTTCTCTGGACACCACTAAACACTATTTATTAAATTCTTTATTTACGCTATTTATTTATTATACTTGGATCAAAGCCGGCGTAGATGCTTTTATTCCTTCTCGAAAATACCAATAAAACCTCAATCTTCCTCATTGTTCTGTCGCTATAGCCCACGTGAAGCACTATTTCCGGCAATTCTGATCACAACAGGTGCCTATTCGTGGTTGCACGTAATAAATGCAAACTTGCACTCAAAGTAGCTAAGTCTTTGCTGATAGAATAAGGCCCTTTACTGCATCTAACAACTTTGGTTTTCGTGATTACTGGCGGCTCTGTAATAGTTTAAATAAGAGTAAGTTTTCTATTCCTCCTCTCTTTAACTAATTTGAGATGTTAACATCTTCCGCTGATAAAGCTGAATGTTTCGCCCGTAAATTCTCTCTAAATTCTACTCTCGACTCATCTGGAGTATCCTTGTCGAACTTTACACTTCGAACTGAGTCTCTGTTGAGTGATATGCATTTAATCACTTCTATGGTTTCTGCTATCAAATCTAATCTGGATCCCTACAAAGCATGTCGACCTGATGGTATCCCTGCAATAGTCTTTAAGAAGTGTGCTCTCCAACTGGTTCCTATTCCCTCTAAACTGTATAGTAAATACCTCGTTGCCTCTTGCTTTACTGCTTGTTGGAAATTCTCATCTCTTGTTCCAGTCTTTAAGAATTCGAGTGAACCGCCCGACCCTTCCAGCTATCGACCTATTACCCTTTTATCTCTTTTTTGGTAAATTACTAGATGCCCTCAGACAAGAAATATGACTTTCGTTTCTCTAGGTTAACTGCTGATATATTGCGGAAAGTGTTTACAAAGCTTTAAATAAGAATGATAGCGCTCGGGCTGTTGCTTTAGACATCTCGAAAGCGTTCGACAGGGTTTGGCATACAGGTCTTCTTCACAAGTTGAAAAGTTACGATGTCTCCAGTAAAATATTTGAACTGATTCAATCTTTCGTATCAAATCGTGAAATGAAAGTTATCCTGAACGGCCACTCTTCCAGATGTTTTTGTACTAATGCAGGTGACCCCCAGGGCTCTATCCTTGGTCCTGCTTTGTTTTTAATTTTCATTAACGACCTTAGTGATGACATCAACTCTCAATTTGGTATAAATACTGATGACACAGCCATTTAGTCCTGTCTTGACAGCAAGTCTGATCAGTTCGATAAAATCAAATTGGCGGGTGATGTAAAAAAAAAAACCCAAAAAACAAAAAAAAACTACACATTTTGTTAATTGGGGAAAAAGAATGGCTTCTTAATTCTAACAATTCCAAAACAAAAATGCTCTCTATTAATTATCTGAGAGACCCCTTGCTGCCTTCCATCAGCATGGCTGATGCTAAACTCCAGAAGAGTGTCTCGTTGCGCCTTCTTGAGGTAACATGAAGCGGAAATATGAACGCTAGTAGTCTGAAGAATAAATTTTTTCTCCTTTTTCTTTTCTCCTTTTATTTTTTTATAAATGTCTTTTTCCCCATTTCTTTCTTTCTCTGCCCTTTTTCTTTTTTTCTTTTTTACGTTTTTCCTTCTCTTTTTATCTTATCTTTGCGCTCTTTTCCCCTTTCTCTTTTCCCATTTCTCCTTTTCTCTTTTTTGTTTTTCTTCTCTATTTTTCCTATCTTTCTCTTTTGTCCCCATTTATTTTCTCTTTTTAATTTTTGTTCTTTTTCTCTTTTCCTCTTTTTCGGTTTTTTTTTTTTTTTTTTATTTTTGGCTTTTCCTCTTTTTCCTACACTCATTCGTTTTTCTTTTCCTCACATTTTTCTTTGTCTTTGTTTTCTTTTTTCTAAATTCTTCATTTTGTTTCTTTCTTTCCATTGCTATTGACAGTATATTAAGGTGTTAACATTTCCATAACAGACTTTAGAAATGATCAAAATGCATCATCATGGTTCTCGGATTTCATTGCTTTGTTCATCAACGAGAAAGACCAGATATCAAGTGATAGCAATAAAAACGTTTTCAACGAGAAGAGTGCCTCAAAACTACAAGGAAAGGAAACGGAATCAGTTCAGCATATCCTTTAAGTGTACCTAGATTACTAGAATTTAATGGCAAGGACTGCGAGTTCAATTCCAGTAATCGTTATTGAAAGTTTTTTTTTTCTTTCTTATCTACATTTTATGAGCAATTTACGGCTACATCGCGTTGAAACACTGGTTCCCGTACGGTCAATAAAATTAATCGATATCGAGCCTAGTCAGTACTTAGATGGTGACTGCTTGGGGATACCAGACCCTGTAAGGTTGGGTGTGCGGGTGGTGTAATGAATATTGGTTCAGAATTGTGAATCGGAGGGCCGAGTTCCACTTATGCGCAAATACACCTGGGGAAGATATGAATCCATCTTTTTCACCGGGCAATGGACTAATTAGTAAGACTTGTATCACTAAATCATTATTATCTCAAAAAAAAAAAAAAGTCTTACAATCTAGGGGTGTTTTCTGGCTTTAAATAAAAAGAGTTGATAAACCGTAGAAACGAATCAGTCAATCAGTTTTATGAGCACCTATCGCATTTAATGCATTGTAAATTGCGCGGATTTCACAAAACGATGTTTATTTCTCAGTGAGTGCCGCAAAAGTTTTATTGACTTATTTGTTGTGAATAGAATTGGTAGGTAATTGAATAACAAAGTGGAAAAATTCTATGTAATGCGTTGCGGTCTTTGAAACAACTAAATTAGACTAATGTTATTGATGGACACACGCGCGCGCACACACACACACACACACACACACACACACACACACACACACACACACACACACACACACACACACACACACACACACACACACACACACACACATCCCATATTTATATACACATACACACACACATTACAAACACACACACACACACACACCCCACAAGATTTCAAAAAAACGACTGACAAGATACTTCGGTTAAGTTTTTTATTTCATTTTTCTTCTGTTATAATTTTCTTCTTTTCTGGACGTTATAAAATCACAAGAAAACAAGAAAAATTAAATAAAAATTTATAATTACATATGCACCGAAG